TTTGCTAGGGGGGGGGGGGGGGGGGGGACCATTGGACAATAGTTAACACTGAATATTTCTTATTTCTCATGTTTTTCACAAGTTATGAACATATTCTGGAAATCATCACGCGACCATCCCCCCCCCACACCAGTGTAAGGTTCCCCCCCACTTTAGAGACACTCATAAGAGAGCAAGATTCCCAGCGAACAGGTTATCCCAGTGTTCACGAGCGGGTGGATGGCAGGTGACGGGCGGCATTGCCGACATGCTGGTTTTCTGTCTCTTGTCCTCCGCTCCCTTTGATGTGAAGAACTCAAGCTGGCTTCCCGAAATACATGGCCGAGGGGAGGATGCTTTCTATCTGTAAACGGCAGCGTGGGTGTCTCTGTCGACAGGTGAGCGGGGCACAGGACCAGAAGCATCACGTGACAGGACTTTGAAGAAAGAACAGTACATCGCCATTTTGTGAATATTAACTGCCCACCGCAATAAACAACTTGTTGAAACAGTCAGAAAAAGCTGGAGTATAAACATCGCTTTGCTATAAAAGTTATATAAAGAGGATATTGGAAAAAAATAGGAGGGGCCATAGAATGGGGGCGGAGTCCACTTGATGCTTGGCCAATGACAGCTGGGGACTGATTTTGTAAACAACAGTCGTAGTTGAAAGAGTGACCCGACTCCTCCCCGGAACTGGGAAGCAGGTTAACTTCACCGTGTCTGTACGGCAATCGTGTGCAATGTTCGCACCGGTGCCGATAAAAATAAAGCGGAATAAAAAATAAATTGCTGTCCTTGAGCTTCAGGGCATTTATTTATTACTTTGTGGAGGTGGAAGAGATGCACAAATTACGTTTGAAATCCCCCTGCTCCCTCACCCCTCCCCGTAATATCGGAGCAGAACGGGGAGACACAAACAAATGGCGAAGCATCTGTATCTCATGCACGGCCAGCTGGTGGACGGATGCTGGTGGACGGACGGACTCATGAAGTCCTCGTTAGTACTAAATGACAATACAGAGGAGAGCAGGGATGTGAGGAACGGCCACGTGGGAGCGGCTCCTGATAGGTTGAGAGCGTCCTGCTCGCGGTATCAAAGGAATAGGCTCGGGGTCAGCAGAGACTGGCTCTATTTGGCCTCTGCAGCCTGTTTGGGGAAACCACAGCAAGAACAAACTTGAATTATTCTCTTAGTTCTGTTTCAAAAGATGTAATTTCTTTTTTCACCACCACATGTTATGAAACAAACGGAGTTAAACTAGTGCCTTCTAAAGACACCGGAATGTGTTTACTTATGAAAGGACAAACGAATGCATATGCGTGGAGAAGGTCTGATATGTTTCTAGTGACCTTCAGCTGATGGATGCTTTGCTGCATGTGTCGTCTACGTGGACCGAGCTGTGCACATGCTTAAGAGTGTCCTTACTCCTCATTGATGCAGTGAAGTGGTGCATCGTCGCGGCAACGCGCCATATTGTATTATCCCAACATGCCATTTTTCTGGGTGTGTGTATGTGTGCATATATTTCTGGAGCGCGAAAGGAAATCACAAGCGCGTGCAGACTGACGGAGCAGGAGAGGCATGAGGGGGGGAGGGAATCCACACCCCCCGGAGTATAGAATCGAGGGTCCAGGTGGATACCAGTAAATCTCTAAGGAGGGCAATCCTATTAACACACTCACAGATCTGAGACGACACGGACGACAACTTGGCAGTTACATTTACAAGTGAAGGTGCCTCGGCGCAGAGCAGGAAAAGGCCCTCGAAAGCGGTTGGCATTTTTTTTATATACTATTTCCAGACAATCTCCAGACTCTCCTCTCTGCTTGGCTAAGCCCTACACATTCCCACCCAGTCCGGCCCCTTTGCGGACGGGCACCAGAAAGACGCCCGCAGGCTTTAAAACAAATCAGTAGTGTTGGTCAAGGACGGCCACATGGGGGTGCAGCAGGACCCGGTTCCCCAGTCACACGGCAGAGCTGGAAAGCTGCACCCAGCCGGCTTCGGTGTAGGCCCCGGTCACATGCCAGTACACAAGGCCCATCAGCTTGGTCCAGGCCCTCTGCACATCCGGGGTGAAGGATTCGGGACAGTCCTCAGACAGAATCTCCAGAATCACACCGCTGAGGATCTGCCCAGGAGGAAGGATTGGCAGAGGTTGGTAAGTACTCATACTTTAAGTGGGGTGTGTTTTTGTCCAATCAACCCCCAGCTGATTATTCATGTAGTAGCATGTCTGAAGGAAAGGAGTTAACTGACAGAAACATGAGGGGGACGTACAAAAGCGACAGACAAAACTCCCCGAAGTCAGGAGGGGGTGGCGCTAGGTAACTTTACACTGATGGCATTATAGCACGAAAGAATTTAATGACAAAGGAGGTTTATCACTTAAATGAAATATCTCCCCACTGATTAACCTTTAGAGATTGTTAGTGCTCGGGTTTCTTTAAAATAGTCAATCTGAAGATAAAACGCACTGGAATCCTGTCCAGGGGACTCCTTACGCCATGTGGCGTCTGGGGTGGGCTCCAGGCCCCCCCGAAATCATGACCAGGAAAAGCAGATGGATGGATGGATGGATGAAAATAAAGTGTTTAAATTTCACTTACATTTTTGTACATATTTTGAGGGAGGAATGCATATATATATAGGCCCCAGAGGGGATTAAAAAAGGGGGCTGGTTGACCAAATTATGATAGTTGACCAGCTTGAGGTATGTTTTCGCAGGATGGTTTGATGGTTCAGCTGGTCATACCAGCTTACGATGGTCATTCTTGCTGGCTTAGCTGGTCATGCCATGAAAGAGCAGCAAGAGCTGGGATATGACCATCTTAGACCAGCTAAAACCAGCTACCAGCGTAAGCTGGTTTTCTGCAGGTTTTCCAGCAGGGACCATTCTGCTCTCGGCGGCGAACTTCTCACATGAACATGGTCGCCCACACACCCCCTCACCTTGAAGTACATGGGCTCCACCTTGTGTTTTATTGCGTGTGCCTTGCCCACCAGGTTGAGGATGGAGGCCACCTTGTCTGGATCGTGGACGTTCTCGACCACGGTGTTGAGGGCATTCATGACGCGCTGGGCGTGCTTCCGGAGTTGAGTGCTCCGCTCCATCTCCTCCATGTCTTCCATGTCCTGGAACTGGCTGAAGTACTGCTTGGCCGAGGGGAAGTTCACAAAAAACCTGCCAGAAAGAGAAGCCCGGGAAGATTAGCTTCTCCCGCCTGGTTTGGATTAATGGCCGGCTTCAAGAAGACCAGAGCGTCCGTAAAGCTCAGCACGTCTGCAAGCATCTCTTCCCGATCGTCAAAGTCAGTGCTCTTTATGGACAAAAAAAAAAAACGTTAAAGAAACACCGAATGTCTGCATATTTATCAAAAAGTCGGTTCAGTTTTTTGTGGAAGCATATTTGATAGAAATAACACAGATTTTAATCTTTTCCATTTTTTTTCCAGTTTCTGCCTGGTACAAGACATCTACTGCAGGCTTCCCTGCACACTGCTGTCATTTCACTAATTTATTCAGTGTCTAAACATGATTAGCTGCTGCTTCTAAAAAATGTCCCTAAACACCAGCTTCACTCCATACTTTGAAAAGCTCTTTGATTTCGAAAAGCTTCCACAGCTCTTCGTTCTCAGTGGAAATTTACTACCTGTCCAACAGCAGAGCCCTCACCAACAGACTGATTCCACATCAAACACAATCACATGCAACTAATTCGTTCTATGCAGCTAAATTAATTTGAGTGTACACAGTGAAGTGTACAGTTCTTTGTCTTTGTGTTCTTGGTTAAAGCCAACAAGCCTTTTGTGTTTTGACCACAACTCCGAGTAACAGCATGTGTGATAGAGATGCAGAATCTTGCTCTGTACTCACCCTGTGCTGCGCCCCTCCCCCACGTTTCAGGCAGTGTGCACGTGTGCTCGCCGTATGCAAAGCGACGTGGTGCCGATGGGAGCCAAATCACTCAGCTGGCTTGTGGGTAATCGGAAATGTACCGAGTGACAGCGTCCGGAAGACCGCATGCCGGTGCTGGTTCATCTCCACCCTGCTGCTGAATAGGGGCCATTTCAGGCCTCGGAAAGGTTCACGTATGACTGTACCTGTCGCTGGCGCTTCTCTCTCTCACTGCCAACACTGTCTGCTTTCTCATTGTGTTAGTGAACTTACTGAACCACCAATGGCTGCTGAAACAGCGCAGCCAGGATGGTCCTCACCCTCCTTAACAGTCTTGCTTGTGAAGACGACCTCACTTCTACATCTGGAATTCATCTCTTGATAAGCATTCCTGGCCCCCATTCCAATTGCAGCAGCCTCCCCATTCCGGTGCATTGGACCCCCCCCCCCCATAATCTGTGTTACTGCTGACCCAGTTTCATCTCAGCACTCCCCTGCACAATCATGGCTGACTGCAGATGTTATTTATTCATTCAGTCGGCCCTCGGCTAGAGCTGCGAGATGGACGACCCAGCAGGGCCCTCAATGGCCTGAGCTTCCAGACGTTCAGCTCCGCCCTCCTCCACATCGGTCACAGAGGAGCCAAACACGCATGTGGAGTTCCTCGTCCCAAAACATACATTTCTGCAACGTTTCCAAACCATGGCACCTTGTGACACATACAAATGTATTACAACGTTCAGGTATCCTGCCATTTTATTCCAAAGCGAAATCGCTCTCTGCTTTCCGTCATAACTAGGAAAACCCATACCTTGTCATATCATTAAGAGCCGGGGGCATTTACTGCCCCCCCCAATCTAACTTTCTTCGTCCCCTGAATCTTGTTCAGCATCAGATGATAAAGCAGGAAATGCGCCTCTGTCAAAATGACATGGCCTGTCCATGCATATAAATGACTTCATTAGCACAAAGTAATCGGAGGCTCGTTAACCTGCTCTGCTTAATTACGGTGTGGATGATGTACGTATGGGTCGGAACTGGCCCATGCTCTCTTGTGGCTGGTCGATAATGACCTCTGGCTGCTCCCCTCTCATGGGTGGCCATTGAGGCAAGCTGTGCGTGGAGATGTTTTATAAATAGTAACCCCCCCCCCACTCTTTTGAGTGTGAGGCCCTATTAAATGGTGGTGATGTATCTGCACGTGTCTCTTTTATGGTGCCTCCTTGGAGGAAGACCCAGTTCGGCTTAATACTCTGACCCACTCTAAGTCACCGTCGGCGTGAACAGCAGAGGGGCTCAGAGCCGGTCCGATCGACCAGCAGCGATGCCAGCCTTGCCCATTAATCCAGGCCGGCAGTTTATGATATCCGTCTTAAACATTTCCTCCATTTCACCCTAAGATAAACATGCTTGATGGATGCAGACATTCTTGGAGGCAGACCCATGCAATTCCCCAGGGGTGGGTGTACAGGGGCCTTGTGGAGAGGGCCTTCATCAGCTGACTCGGATCCCAAGGTGGTAGGCAACAGGTCTCCCTTATATAATGCAGATGCGTTCCCTGTCACGTGGGGGGGGGGGGGGGGGTTT